TGATATAGTGGTAAGAGTTTCAATCTCAATTATGCAATAACAACCATAAAACCTTCTCTATGTACAACATTCTTAACAAAATAAATACAAACCAAGGTAATAACATAATAGGTTATTCCTAATTTTGGGAACTTAAAAAAAATCAGGTGAATTGACTGAGGAACATGCATAGTGTTTACAAGTAAAATTCAATTATTTTCACATAGCATTGTTCTATGAATAATGGATACTTCCCCCACTGACATACTGTATATGCCAAGCACTTCCCAGTCAGATGCAGAAACTTGAAAATATATATTTCTTTATCTATTTACATGACTGTTAAAACTTTAATGTACAATATTACCATAAATTTCCTTTCATGCTAAGTATCTCCCAGTCCTGAAAAAACAAACAAAAGACTATAATTATTAAACCTAAAAGATCATTATTTCAAAATGTCATATTTAAAATGAAAGATACACAAAGCTCTGAAGCTTATGATTATAGGTAAATAATGAAAAAAAGATACAGTACATGCTGAAAATTCATTATGAAGGAATGTAACAATTCAATGGATTGATAGTCTTGAATCTAAGGCTGAGTGGTACTACAATTGCCAATACAGGTCATAAGCAATGCTCCAAACCATTTATGGTCCTCTGCAATGCAGTGACTAAGCTTGTTGGATTGGCTTTCTTAAGGCTGTCAGACTATGGGATCCATTCTACTGAAAAGATGACATTTCATTTGGTGTTTTGTCTTTCTGAAAAGCTAGTACTGTGCACCATCACACATCAAAATCCTTAGTGGAATCTCGGGACTGAAATTAAACTTGTTAAACATTTCAAAAGTTGTAATTACTATTATGTATTGCCATTCTTTCTCTTTCACTGTGCTGCAGAACTAACGAGTATGGAAAAAAAAATGCTTTCTGAGCTGGCACAGTAATTTTTATGGCATTTTGTTATACTGTACATAGCTACAAACTTCCAAAAAAATTAAATCTTCCATACTAACAACCTATTTTCATTTTAAATGTTTCACTGGAATAAATCCCCCAGGATCTGGGAACCCTTCTTAACATTTTGATTTCTGACCCAGGAACCTAACCTACAAACACTTCCCCTCACGGAAGGTTCCTTGAAGTTGGTGAGGGGCTCTTGATTTAGGGAATTGGATCTGTGCTCCAGTTCCCCGAATTAAGCCTGAATGCCTTCCACATCCCCCCCGGTGCTGTACAATCCTACGGGTTTAGCGCTTCCCCTTGATTATTATAATAATAATACAAACACTTCCTCACTGGAAGGACTATTTATGGGTAGTTAATAAGTTCCTCTGTATGACTTGAAAAAGCTCACCAGTTAGCACAACACTGTCCAGATAAATGCATCTTCTGCTTTAAGTATTGCTGTTCTACAATACAAGCCTGTTCACAAATTTCAATAAAATCTAAAACATTAAATGCCTAATTTATATTTTTTTTTTTTTAGGGAAGTAACTGAGGTTTTTAGCTCTTTCATATCCACTCGGCATATATTCTAACAATTTATCAGTGTATATTCATATAACTGCTGTATGTACATAATTTTCAAGGCATGAGATGCAGTTCTGGGAACCATTTCTTGACTTTTAATCAACTGATGTGGTCTACTTACTGTCCAAGTCAGACCAAAATACTGTCATAAGCTGAATTCTTCTATGTGCTGGTTGTGTAAAATTCATCTTCCACATTTCACCTTACACTATACAAGTACTTTACAATCTCTCTTCAACTCATTTGGTTAAGCTTTCATCTGTCTTACAAATACGTAATCTCTTCTATACATGTCTTGTCTACTCTCCCTTTCCCTGCAGTATTTTGTGTTATGATCTTATTAACTATTAATTTACATCATCCTCTACTGATGAGCTGTTACACTTATTTTCCACCTCAGTTTTAACCGCAGCTTCACATTCTATACCTAGAGCAAGCATTCTCAGAAATGCGCGCCTTGGTCTCCTACTTGTGCTCGTGCAGTACATTTGAAATGTGCTGCATGGGCCGATATCGTTACAACAGGACCACAGAGCGTCTCCTTGATTTTAAACGGGCAAGAGCGGTCGCCCCACGTCATCTGTGAAGTCAAACGCACTTGCTAGTAAGATTGTTTCTACCATTACTTCTGCTTCCTCATGAACAGGCAGACACTTCTGTGCGGTCAGCAGTACATGACCTACCAGTTTCATGTAGAGGTATTCCATTTACGGACTATTTTGCTGCAATATCTTCCCAACTTCACACCCGTTGGCAACAACGTTGGTCTACTATGCTCGGCAACAAACTTCAATCTATTAAACCGAGTATAGGTTACTGGCCGTCTTCTTATCACCAGTGTCGAGGTTGGGAGACTACTCTCTCCCGTCTTCGCATTGGCCATACTCGTCTTACTCATGGATATCTCATGGAGAGGCGCCCTGCTCCTCTCTGTGAGAATTGCCAAGTTCCATTATCAGTCAGCCACATTCTGTTGGACTGCCCACTTTATCAACGAGCACGCAGAATTTATCTCCATCGTCGTCTTCGCTCTGCTGCTCTCTCTTTACCTTCCCTTCTCGCTGATGGACCCACCTTTCATCCAGACTCTCTCATTGACTTTTTGACAACAACTGACTTGCTTCACAAATTCTGATACCTTCAGCCCTTTCTACTTCAATCTCTTGCTACCCCCTACCCCTGTACTATCCCCTGCCCCACTGTTTTCTGTAACCTACTGATCATCCCTCCTCCCTTCTGCCATCCAATACCCTCGCTTCCTTCCCTACCCTGCAGCGCTGTATAGCCCTTGTGGCTTAGCGCTTCTTTTTGATTATAATAATAATAATAATCTGCTTCCTCAATGAGTGCAGTTTGGAAAAAAGTGCAGAAACTGAGTAGAGAATTCTCTCCAGACCCTGCTCCCATTCTCCAGGTTGCCGGTGTCAGTGTTGCAAACCCTCTTGACATTGCCAAGATATTGGAAATCATCTTGTCCGTATCTCTAAAGGGTTCCATCTATGCCCCTTGTTTCTTTCCTCCAAGCCTGCCAGTTTTACTGCCCTTAGACTTTTCTTTTCGCAGAGAAGAGCCCTATAATGTGCCTTATATATTTCTAGAACTAGAGTCCCCACTTTCCATTTGCTGATCATTTGCAGCTGGAGCTGATGGCATTCAAATCTGCATGCTTCAGCATTTTCATCCATCAGCCCTTACAGTCCTCTTGTCTTTTCAATCTTATTTGGTTGCAAGGAGTTCTTTCCCAGCTGTGGAAATCTGCCATAGCTCTACCTTTTCGTAAACCAGGTACTTTAGGACATGATGCCTCTCACTATCGACCCACTGCTCTTACCAGTGCAGTTTTCAAAGTAATTGAATGTCTGGTGAATAGACATTTGATGTGGTATTTAGACACACACAATAGTCTCTCCCCGTCAATATGGCTTTTGTAAGAGCCGCTCTCCTATTAACCCCTTACTCCATTTAGACACCTATGTCCGTAATGCCTTTGCTAGTAACCACTCCATTATAGCAGTCTTTTTTTGATCTTGAAAAGGCACATGACACTACATGTAGATATAATATCTTGGCCCAAGCTCACTCCTTAGGCCTTCGAGGCAATCTGCCAATTTTTCTTGCAAGCTTCTTATCCGAGACATTTCCATGTTCGTGTTAATAATTTGCTTTCCCCAGACTAGTCCAAGCTGAAGGTGTTCCTCAGGGATGTGTCCTTACCACCACCCTTTTTCTCCTTGCTATAAATGATTTGACATCTGTTCTCCCATCTAATATTTGGTCATAACTACGTTGATTGTAGGTAGTAGGTTGGTAGACAGCAACCGCCCAGGGAGGTACTACCGTCCTGCCAAGTGAGTGTAAAACGAAAGCCTGTAATTGTTTTACATGATGGTAGGATTGCTGGTGTCTTTTGTCTGTCTCATAAATATGCAAGATTACAGGTAAGTCTTGCTACTTCTACTTACACTTAGGTCACACTACACATACATGTACAAGCATATATATACACACCCCTCTGGGTTTTCTTCTATTTTCTTTCTAATTCTTGTTCTTGTTTATTTCCTATCTCCATGGGAAGTGGAACAGAATTCTTCCTCTGTAAGCCATGCGTGTCGTAAGAGGCGACTAAAATGCCGGGAGCAAGGGGCTAGTAACCCCTTCTCCTGTATATATTACTAAATTTAAAAGGAGAAACTTCAGTTTTTTCTTTTGGGCCACCCCACCTCAGTGGGATACGGCTGGTACGTTGAAAGAAGAAGAAAGAAGAACTACGTTGATGATTTCGCTATAGCTTGTGCAGGCGCTGACTGTCGCCTAGTAGCAGCCTCACTCCAGAATGCTGTTAACAGTATTTCCCATTGGACCACTACTCATGGGTTTAAATTTTCTAGTGCTAAAACAAACAATTACTTTCACCAGACATTCAGTCATCCCTGATACTCCACTGTACATGTATGGCTCACAAATCCCTGAATGTGATACAGATTTCTTGGCCTACTGTTTGATCACCGGTTGTCTTGGAAACCTCACATTACCTTCCTGAGAGCAACTTGACATATCCGGCTGAACCTCCTTAAAACCCTCACTCATCTTTCATGGGGGGCAGATTGTTGAACCCTTCTTCGATTGCATTCAGCCCTAATTTAATCAAAGATAGATTATGGCGACCAGATATATTCTGCGGCCTCTCCTGCAACTCTAAACTCGATCCCATCCGTCATCAGGGATTACGTTTATGTCTAGGTGCTTTTCGCTCCTCACCTGTCAAGAGCCTCTACGCAGAAGCAAATGTCCCATCCTTGAACAATCGTCGTGATGTTCACTGCCTTCACTATTTTGTCTGCGCTCATGACCTTCACAAATCTTCTACATACAGGATAGTAATGAACGTTAGCTGAAGTCCATCATTTGCTCATCGTGCATTTACTCTGCCCCTTTTGTCTTCAATTGCTCGTCTTCTCTTCAGTTGCCCCCTTTATATGTTCATCTAGCATCTAACTTTTCACTTACCCCTTGGGAAGTTCTGATAGTTAATGTCTGTTTTTCCCCACTGCAGTGCGCGAAGGCCCAAATCCCTACAGTTGCTTCTCGCTCTCTTTTTCTTAATCGCTTCCATCTCATTCTCATGCTGATGGTGTTGGGTTTGCAGCAGTGTTTCTTGACAGAGTGATACAAGGTCATTTATTAGACTCAGCTAGCATTTTTACAGCTGAATTGTATGCCATTCTCATTGCTATTCTCCATATTGCATCTATGCCTACTTCAAAGTTTGTAATCATCTCGGACTCCTTTAGTGCTTTGCAAGATATTAAAAAATTTGATTCATCTCATCCCTTAGTTCTTCATATACAACTTTGGTTATGCTGCATTACTAGCAAAAATAAAGATATCATTTTCTGTTGGATCCCTGGTCATGTTGATGTTCAGGGCAATAAGCAGACAGACTCTGCTGCATGATCTGCAGTACATGACCTACCAGTTTCATATAGAGGTATTCCATTCTCTGATTATTTTGCTGTAATCTCTACCCACATTCACAACAATGTTGGCCTAGATATGTCTCATAACAAATTACATTCCATCAAACAAAGTTTGGATTTCTGGTCTTCTTGTCATTGATACTGAGGATGGGAGACAACACTCTCTTGTCTTCGCACTGGACACACTTGTCTAACTCGTGGGTATCTCATGGAGAGGCGTCCTGTTCCACTTCATGAGAATTGTCTAGTTCCTGTTTCAATTTCCCATATTCTATTGGACTGTCCTATCTATCAACGACTACAAAGAATTTTCCTCCGATGTTGTCACCGCTCTACGCCCTTACTTTATTTTCCCCTCCTTGCTGACAGACCCACCTTTAACACAGACTCCCCCTTTGACTTTTTGACAGCAACGGATTTGTTACACAAACTTTGATAATCCTTCCTTTAGCACTCCTGACAGCCCCTCCTAACTTTACCGTTATTGTCATCTCCACCTTTATTTATCCTTAGATCCTGCATCAATTCCTACCCTGCATCGCTGTATGACCCTGGTAGGTTTAGCACTTCCTTTTGATTATAATAATAATATTATTAATTTACATTCTTCCACTGTAGCGAGTTAAAAATTAAGGAAAAAAGCTTATTTAATGATCCCAACAAGTACACGGGTATATGGAGAAACAGCAAGTAATCTAAGGACTCAACCAACCTCTAGACCGGGAAGTATAGCTGCCAATAATTTGCATGAGGCACCGGGAAAATTCTGCAATTACTGTATGCTCTAACTGGGCCTTAGATACTAGGGCATTTTCTGCTTTGTCTGCCTGGGCTAGTAGACACTGGCATGTCGCTTCCACTACTTCTTGATTCATGCGACAGTAACCAGATCTGGAATGAAAAATGCAAGTATAAGAATTAAAAAAAAAAAAAAAAAAAAAAAAAATCGAAGCCAATACGGAGAACAGCAGCTCAGCTTCAACTCTTCCATTTACTTCTTTCTTAACATACAAGCAAGGTATTCAAACCTACGCAGTAGGAATTTGTTGTGCAAATTGTTATTTTAGGAGATATTAGACACTTAAATACTTTTACGAGAGGAAGAATATATGAGGTTAATTTTTTTATTATCACACTGGCCGATTCCCACCAAGGCAGGGTGGCCCGAAAAAGAAAAACTTTCACCATCATTCACTCCATCACTGTCTTGCCAGAAGGGTGCTTTCCACTACAGTTTTTAAACTGCAACATTAACACCCCTCCTTCAGAGTGCAAGCACTGTACTTCCCATCTCCAGGACTCAAGTCTGGCCTGCCGGTTTCCCTGAACCCCTTCATAAATGTTACTTTGCTCACACTCCAACAGCATGTCAAGTATTAAAAACCATTTGTCTCCATTCACTCCTATCAAACACGCTCACGCATGCCTGCTGGAAGTCCAAGCCCCTCGCACACAAAACCTCCTTTACCCCCTCCCTGCAATCTTTCCTAGGCTGACCCCTACCCCGCCTTCCTTCCACTACAGACTGATACACTCTTGAAGTCACTCTGTTTCACTCCATTCTCTCCACATGTCCAAACCACCTCAACAACCCTTCCTCAGCCCTCTGGACAACAGTTTTGGTAATCCCGCTCCTCCTAACTACGAATTCTCTGCATTATATTCACACCACACATTGCCCTCAGCCTTCTCCTCACTGCAACATTCATCACCCATGCTTCACACCCATATAAGAGCGTTGGTAAAACTATACTCTCATACATTCCCCTCTTTGCCTCCAAGGACAAAGTTCTTTGTCTCCACAGACTCCTAAGTGCACCACTCACTCTTTTCCCCTCATCAATTCTATGATTCACCTCATCTTTCATAGACCCATCCGCTGACACGTCCACTCCCAAATATCTGAATACGTTCACCTCCTCCATACTCTCTCCCTCCAATCTGATATCCAATCTTTCATCACCTAATCTTTTTGTTATCCTCATAACCTTACTCTTTCCTGTATTCACTTTTAATTTTCTTCTTTTGCACACCCTATCAAATTCATCCACCAATCTCTGCAACTTCTCTTCAGAATCTCCCAAGAGCACAGTGTCATCAGCAAAGAGCAACTGTGACAACTCCCACTTTATGTGTGATTCTTTATCTTTTAACTCCACGCCTCTTGCCAAGACCCTCACATTTACTTCTCTTACAACCCCATCTATAAATATATTAAACAATCACGGTGACATCACATCCTTGTCTAAGGCCTACTTTTACTGGGAAATAATTTCCCTCTTTCCTACATACTCTAACTTGAGCCTCACTATCCTCGTAAAAACTCTTCACTGCTTTCAGTAACCTACCTCCTACACCATACACCTGCAACATCTTCCACATTGCCCCCCTATCCACCCTGTCATACGCCTTTTCCAAATACACACCATATCTAACTAGCAGCTAGGATTCAGCCCTCAGTGTTCCAATAACATACTTGCTTCAAGACAAAGCAATGGTCACTGCACAATCATTCACTTAACAAAATCAAAATGGATTTTCACAAGACAGTGCTCTATGACCCTGGTGGGTTCAGCTCTTAGTTTTGATTATAATAATAACAGAGGCAATTACCACTGTAGAATTTTTTTTTATTCTGTTAGGTAATATGATATGTTTAGGTTAGGTTTGGATGCAATGGGTTAAGTTACCTAGTGTAACCTAAACTAAGCTCACCTAATCTAACCAAACTTAACATAGGAAATTAGTGAATTTACACAAAATATCTATTGCAAGATCCACTTGCTACTGTACATTTTAAACTATAGATTATCACTAAACTCAGCCAAACAGCTGTTCTCCAGAGTGATCCGTGTAAAATGTTGTACGGTGGAACCCCGGTTTTCGTACGGTCCAGTTATCGTACAATTCAGTTTTCGACCAGTTTTTTCAGCGAAATTTTCCCCATTCTTGTACATCTGCTCGGAAATCATCCATACCAGACGCGTCCACTCATATATTCATGACTCAGTCTGCCTTTGTTACTCGTAGAGGGTGGTAGTGATGGTGGTAGAGGGTGGTAGTGGTTGTGATGGTGGTAGAGGGTGGTAGTGATGGTGGTAGAGGGTGGTAGTGATGGTGGTAGAGGGTGGCAGTGGTTGTGATGGTGGTAGTAACTGTTGTGTAGAGATAATCTCTCCTCCCTCTCCTCTCCTTGCCATCTTCCAAACACCAACAAGAGTCTTCAATAAAGGTAAAAATGATTTAAATGTTCATTTATCCATTTCATTAGTGCTTTATATTTACTGTATTTCTCATTGTTTTCTGTAAGACTATAGTGTATTTTTTGTTAATAATTTTGGATGTCTGGAATGGATTAATTGTATTTACATTATTTCTTATGGGAAATATTACTTCAGTTTTCACACAAATCGGTGTTTGGCCGACCTTCTGGAACAGATTAAAGACGAAAACTGGGGTTCCACTGTACTTGCCTCTGATGAAGGAAAAATGTTTTTCAAGGTGCCTGGGTTTGACAACCCCACAAAACACATCACCTCCTGCTCAAAAATAAGACTTAAAATACCCAGTGATTACTTGTCCAACTTTGCTTTCTACCAGTGGCAAACAAGTTAGCCATAAATTCCAACAGGCAACTTCAATGATCCTGCGAACTAGTTTCTCTAATGAAAGTACAACATTTACAAACATTTTTGTGGCACTTATTTTCATGATGAGATTCAAAGAAACACACATACACAGAAACCATTACAGACAAAGTTTCACCCACACACTGGGCTTCATCAAGTTATATAAGGAGTAAAGCAACAGGATATTATATGCAGGTGGAGAACGAAGAGTGAAGTTCAAAAGCCTTTCTTCATAACATATTTTGTAGAGCTGGAAGCCATTTTGCAGCAAGTTTTTGTATATTTTTACCTTGTTACAAATGTTTTTAAAACACTGACTCCATGCTTATCCCTATTTTAACTAAACACACGTGAACTGCCTTTTCAACATTTCCTCATTGATGTAAATGAATCAGAGGCCTGCAAGAGTACATGCAAGCTAATATTCTTTTCTAGCTAACCTTAATGAGCCAAGTGATTCAGCAGGCCCTCCTATTTTATCTTTATCCACTTGTCAAGGACACATGTTACCCACTGATGGGCCTCAGTTCCTCAAGCTGAATTTCCAGGTAAGGGTTAATAAGGAGTATAGAAGTATCTGGAAAATAGCATACATACAGGGCAACACTTAACCTCTAGGCACCCAATCCCTAGTTGTGATCCTCCTGGCAAGAAAAAACCAACTACATTTCATGAATTTTTTTTTTTCAACAACCTGGCCGTATCCCACCAAGGCAGGGTGGTCCAAAAAGAAAAACGAAAGTTTCTCTTTTTAAATTTAGTAATATATACAGGAGAAGAGGTTACTAGCCCCTTACTCCCGGCATTTTAGTCGCCTCTTACAACACGCATGGCTTACGGAGGAAGAATTCTGTTCCACTTCCCCATGGAGGTAAGAGGAAATAACAAGAACAAAAACTAGAAAGAAAATAGAAGAAAACCCAGAGGGGTGTGTATATATATGCTTGTACATGTATGTGTAGTGTGACCTAAGTGTAAGCAGGAGTAGCAAGACGTACCTGTAATCTTGCATATTTATGAGACAGACAAAAGACATCAGCAATCCTACCATCATGTAAAACAATTACAGGCTTTCGTTTTACATTCACTTGGTAGGACAGTAGTACCTCCCTGGGCGGTTGCTGTCTACCAACCTACTACCTAGGTACATTTCATGATGTCTACAGAAATTGCAATCTTCCACCATAAGGAAGGTGGCTACCTTTAAGAGATTATATTTAAAAAAAAAATGAGATGATAGCAAAATATTTACTACCTTGATGATGTGGGTAAAAGCATTTTTGTAGGTGAATGGTGAGAAAATGATGGTAGCTTGGACTTTACAGCTTTTTGTTGATTCACTCTGGCTTCTGCACATTCTGCAAGCTGCATCAAGCCTTTCCGCTCTACAGCTGGATTCATGTCTACATTTTTGCAGCCAACACACTTACACATATTAGAGCATGGTATCTTGGCCTAGAAGAAAGAAAAATAGCTTTTTAATACTTAGAATTCAACACTTATCCTACAATACTGGATTTACATTTTATTATTCAAGATAAACTACATATACAATGTTTATGCTCTTCACATTTTCCACTGAAGGTACAAGAGAAGCCTTATAAAAAAACACTCTCTCTTTACGTAATGGCTGTGATAAATAGATTTATAATACCAATTCCAGAGCAAATTCCATCTGTTTCATTATTCAAGGTCTTGTGCACCACACCTACACTGCATAAAAGTACAAGCAAAATTTTTAAAGATTTTAAAAGATTCTGGGTCATTACCTCATAACATTCACAATAATTTTTAAGGCATCCCGAACGCTTGCAGTTACATCCTTTATTATGTCTTCTCTCGTTGTCGCTGCCACCTTTGCCAATTTTAGGCCGGAAAGCTTGGGGGTTTCTGTCTAAGCAAGCTTTAATAGCCTTCTGTCTATCTTCTTCATGTGTTAGATTATTGAAACAGTTTGCACAGTTACAATTATTGCAAAATTCGCCATTTGCAAAACAATCACAGTATCTGAGAATAAAAGATATTTCAGTTAGCTATATTATTTTCTTTAAACATAAATTATTCTTATAAACACACTATATATCTGAATACTCGTGAGTAATTTATAAAACTCACAGTTTAAGACACTGGCTTTTTGTACAGTTGCATGGTTTTCTTGGTCTTATTCCATTGGCATCAATAACAGTGCGGGGTGGTTGGGGTTTAGGAGGCTGTGGAATTATTGTACCAGGAGGAGGCTGGTTAGACATCTGGACTGTCGTGTTGTTTGATGTGCTGGACTGGAGCTATAGGGGAAATGGCACACACACATTATCTAACATATACAGATATGGCAATAATCTTCATTCTCAAAGAAATTGCATGTACAGGACTGATTTCAAAGACAACTTTAGTTGATGTAGACAATATAGGAAAAGTTTCCTATGGTTGCTATAGGTTTTGCCAAATATAAAATCTTTATCCACCATAGCAATTTATATCAACAATGATGAAAAGCAAGTTTATAGTGATGCTTGAGATGTGTTATAATATATGAGTCAATACCTGAGACATATAGTGAGCAGGAATCATAACAACTGAGCCAGGTTGAGTATTTGAGAGCACTCCCGGAGGAAGAGCAGAAGCTGGCAAGGTAAGGTTAGTTTGGGGGCGGATAGGTACCCCACCTCCCATACTAGATGTTGTTACTGATCCAGATACTGGGATTATCACTCGTTGCTTATTTGTCTGCAAAGATTTTTTTTATTATAGACTTAAAAAGATTTTATAAATACATAAGGAATTTAAATTATATGCAAGTCCTATGAGAAAAACTGAAATGTCAAATAAATTACCTGTTGATTGTGTGTTATAGGCATTGCCTTTATCTTGATTGGTTGTGAAGCTGCAGGAGCAATAGGTTTGTTGGTTGAGGGTGTGGGTCGTATCAAGGTGGTTCCTCCCCCACCTCCTCCACCGCCTACACCTGGATTTACAAGTCGAACATAATTCATCTAAAAGAGAAAAGGAAAACAAGTGATAAAAACTAAATAAAGAAGTATAAGTATATTATGGGAATATTTCATCAGACCAGGCATAATTTTCTTGAAAAAAATTTTTCTATAAGGTTTAGGTATAGTATCAAAATAAGGTTCAGATAGTATTTAAAGAACAAAGTTTTGGCATGCCTTTGCCTTGAATTTATTTGATATGCTATACCAACTTGTTCTTAGTGACATCTTATAAGAGAAAATTATATTTTAAATTCTTGAGGAAGGATTAGTTTTTTTTTTTTTTGACACGGTCAGCGCTGTATAGCCCTTGTGGCTTAGCGCTTCTTTTTTATTATAATAATAATAATTCTGACACGTTAGCCATTTCCCACCAAGGCAGGGTGACCCAAAAAGAAAGGAAAACCCCAAAAGAAAGAAAAATTTTTCATCATTCAACATTTTTATCATCACTCATACATAATCACTGTCTTTGCAGAGGCGCTCATATATGACAGTTTAGATGTCACTCCAAACAGCCAATATCCCAAGCCCCTCCTTTCGAGTGCAGGCATTGTACTTCCCACCTCCAGGACTCAAGGCCACCTAAGCAGTTTCCTAAATCTGTTCATAAAGGCTACCATGCTCACACTCCAATAGCACATCAAGTCACAGGAGCCACTTGCCTGTACTCACTGCTATCTAACATGTTCACAGATGCCTGCTGGATGTCTAAGCCTCTTGCACACAAAACCTCTATTACCCCCTCCCTCCAACTTTTCCTAGATGACCCCTACACCGTCTTCTCCCCACTACAGATTTATACACCCTGCAAGTCATCCTATTTTGCTCCATCCTCTCTAAATATCCAAACCACCTCAAAATACTTCTTCAGTCCTCTGGATAATACTTTTAGTAATCCCACATCTTCCAATCTCCAAGCTACAAATTCTATGCATAATATTCACACCACACATTGCCCTTGGATACAACATCTCCACTACCTCCACTGTACAGTGCCTGCACTCTAAATGAGGGGTGAAGATATTTGCTGTTTGGAGGATCATCTGACCTGTTGTATCTGTGAACCTCTGGCAAGACAGAATGATGGTGAAAGCGTTTCTTTTTCAGGTCACCCTACCTCGGGTAACCCAAAAAAGAAATGGTCAGTGTTAAAAAAAATCTTCAGTCAGTGAAAATGTAACATAAAAGACAAACAATAAATAAATAACAAGATATAAAATTTTAAAAGCAGCATATAAATAAAGACAAAATAATGTGAATACAATATTTGACATCTAACTAGAAAGCCATCCAAGAGGCCAAAATATATACCAGACCAATCTGCTACATTGAAGAATAACACAAGAACTTAATGGTACCAACCTTATTTGACAGAACTTGAACATTTTGAGGTTGACCTGTTAGTTGCTGGACCTGACTTGCAGGTATCTTGATGACCTGTTGTCCTCCTGAAGTTACAATCTGCCCGGTTCTTACTGTGCTTACTGTCCCCTATAAACAGTAAAGCAAAAATACCTACATTCAAAAAGCTTTGAAGACCAATTTAGGTTCAATATTAAGTGGTATCTTTTATCTCTAATACATATATAATGTACATTCACCAAGTTACAAGCAAAGAATTAAATTTTGGAGTGAGATAAGTTAAGAAAGCCTAGGCAACAAATGGATTTGTCAGTTAAAAACAGAGTAGGGGAATTAGTAGATGGGGAACTGGAGGTATTGGGTAGAGGGCGGAAATATTTTGAGGAACTTTTAAATGTCGTTGAAGAAAGAGCGGTGGTAATTTCATGCGCTGGCCAGGGAGGTATAATATCTTTTAGGAGTGAACAAGAGCAGGATGTGAGTGTGGGAGAGGTGCGTGAGACATTACGTAGACTGAAAGGGAGTAAAGCAGCTGGAACTGACGAGATTATTACAGAAATGTTAAAAGCAGGGGGGGAAAATTGTGTTGGAGTGGTTGGTATTTTTGTTTAATAAATGTATGAAAGAAGGGAAGGTACCTAGGGATTGGCAGAGAGCATGTATAGTTCCTTTATATAAGGGAAAGGGGGACAAGAGAGATTGTAAAAATTATAGGGGAATAAGTTTACTGAGTTATAGGTAGTAAGTTGGTAGACAGCAACCGCCCAGGGAGGTACTACTGTCCTGCCATGTGAGTGTAAAACGAAAGCCTGTAATTGTTTTACATGATGGTAGGATTGCTGGTGTCCTTTTTTCTGTCTCATAAACATGCAAGATTTCAGGTATGTCTTGCTACTTCTACTTACACTTAGGTCACACTACACATACATGTACAAGCATATATATATTCACTACTCTGGGCTTTCTTCTATTTTCTTTCTAATTCTTATTCTTGTTTATTTCCTCTTATCTCCATGGGGAAGTGGAACAGAATTCTTCCTTCGTAAGCCATGTGTGTTGTAAGAGGCAACTAAAATGCCGGGAGCAAGGGACTAGTAACCCCTTCTCCCGTATAAATTACTAAATTTAAAAAGTAGTAGTAGGTTGTAGGTTGGTAGACAGCAACTGCCCAGGGAGGTACTACCGTCCTGTCAAGTGAGTGTAAAAGAAACCTGTAATTGTTTTACATGATGGTAGGATTGTTGGTGTCCTTTTGTCTGTCTCATAAACATGCAAGATTTCAGGTATGTCTTGCTACTTCTACTTACACTTAGGTCACACTACACATACATGTACAAGCATATATATACACACCCCTCTGGGTTTTCTTCTATTTTCTTTCTAGTTCTTGTTCTTGTTTATTTCCTCTTATCTCCATGGGGAAGTGGAACAGAATTCTTCCTCCGTAAGCCATGCATGTTGTAAGAGGCGACTAAAATGCCAGGAGCATGAGGCTAGTAACCCCTTCTCCTGTATATATTACTAAATGTAAAAGGAGAAACTTTCGTTTTTCCTTTTGGGCCACCCCGCCTTGGTGGGATACGGCCGATGTGTTGAAAGAAAGAAGAAGAAAAAGGAGAAACTTTCGTTTTTCCTTTTGGCCCACCCCACCTCGGTAGGATACGAGTGGTGTGTTGAAAGAAAGAAAGATAAAAAAGAGAAACTTTCGTTTTTCTTTTTCGGTCACCCTGCCTTGGTGGGATACGGCCGGTTTGTTAAAAAAAAAAAAAAAAGTTTACTGAGTTATAGGTAGTAGGTTGGTAGACAGCAACCGCCCAGGGAGGTACTACCGTCCTGCCAAGTGAGTGTAAAACGAAAGCCTGTAATTGTTTTACATGATGGTAGGATTGCTGGTGTCTTTCGTCTGTCTCATAAACATGCAAGATTTCAGGTATGTCTTGCTACTTCTACTTACACTCAGGTCACACTACACAAGAATATATATACACACCCCTCTGGGATTTCTTCTATTTTCTTTCTAGTTCTTATTCTTGTTTATTTCCTCTTATCTCCATCTGGAAGTGGAACAGAATTCTTCCTCCGTAAGCCATGTGTGTTGTAAGAGGCAACTAAAATGCCGGGAGCATGGGGCTAGTAACCCCTTCTCCTGTATATATTACTAAATGTAAAAGGAGAAACTTTCGTTTTTCCTTTTGGGCCACCCTGCCTCGGTGGGATATGGCCTGTGTGTTGAGAGAGAGCGAGAAGTTTACTGAGTGCCTGTAATTGTTTTACACAATGGTAGGATTGCTGGTGTCTTTTTTTTTTGTCTCATACACATGGAAGATTTCAGGTACGTCTTGCTACTTCTACTTACACTTAGGTCACACTACACATACATGTACAAGCATATATATACACACCCCTCTGGGTTTTCTTCTATTCTCTTTCTAGTTCTTGTTCTTGTTTATTTACTCTTACCTCCATGGTGAAGTGGAGCAGAATTCTTCCTCCGTAAGCCATGCGTGATGTAAGAGGCGACTAAAATGCCAGGAGTAAGGGGCTAGTAACCCCTTCTCCTGTATATATTACTAAATGTAAAAGGAGAAACTTTCGTTTTTCCTTTTGGACCACTCCGTCTCAGTGGGATACGGCCAATGTGTTGAAAGAAAGAAAGAAGTTTACTGAGTATATCAGGAGAAGTGTACGGTAAGGTTATTATTGAAAGAATTAGAGGTAAGACAGAGAGTAGGATTACAGATGAGCAAGGAGGCTTTAGAGTGGGTAGGGGATGTGTAGCTCAAGTGTTTACATTGAAGCATATATGTGAACAGTATTTAGATATAAGTAGGGAAGTTTTCACTGCATTTATGGATTTAGAAAAGGCATATGATAGAGTGGATAGGGGAACAATGTGGCAGATGTTGCAAGTATATGGAATAGGTAGTAAGTTACTATATGCTATAAAGAGTTTTTATGAGGATAGTGAGGCTCAGGTTAGGGTGTGAAGAAGAGAGGGAGATTACTGCTCAGTAAAAGTAGGTCTTAGACAGGGATGTGTAATGTCACCATGGTTGTTTAATATATTTATAGATGAGGTTGCAAAAGAAGTAAATGCTAGGGTGTTGGGGGGGGGGTGTAGGATTAAATTATGGGGAATCAAATACAAAATGGGAGTTGACACAGTTACTTTTTGCTGATGATACTGTGCTTATGGGAGATTCTAAAGAAAAGTTGCAAAGGTTAGTAGATGAGTTTGGGAGGGTGTGTAAAGGTAGAGAGTTGAAAGCAAACACAGATAAGAGTAAGGTGATAAGGGTATCAAATGATTTAGATAAAGAAAAATTGGATGTCACATTGAGAGAGGGAGTATGGAAGAAGTGAATGTTTTCAGATATTTGGGAGTTGACGTGTCAGCAGATGGGTTTGTGAAAGATGAGGTTAATCATAGAATTGATGAAGGAAGAAATGTGAGTGGTGCCTTGAGGTATATGTGGAGACAAAAAACGTTATTTATGGAGGCAAAGAAGGGAATGTATGAAAGTATAGTGGTATCAACACTCTTATATGGGTGTGAAGCTTGGGCTGTAAATGCTGCAGCGAGGAGGTGGTTGGAGGCAGTGGAGATGTCCTGTCTAAGGGCAATGTGTGGTGCAAATATGATGTAGAGAATTCGGAATGTGGAAATTAGGAGGTGTGGAGTTAATAAATAAAAGTATTAGTCAGAGGGCTGAAGAAGGGTTGTTGAGGTGGTTTGGTCATTTAGAGAGAATGGATCAAAGTAGAATGACGTGGAGAACATATAAATCTGTAGAGGAAGGAAGGCGGGGTAGGGGTCGTCCTCGAAAAGGTTGGAGGGAGGGGGTAAAGGAGGTTATGTGGGCAAGGGGTTTGGACTTCCAGCAAGCATGCATGAGCATATTAGATAGGAGTGAATGGAGACAAATGGTTTTTGGGACCTGATGAGCTGTTGAGGGTATGAGCAGGGTAATATTTAGTGAAGGGATTCAGGGAAACTGGTTATTTTTATATAGCCGGACTTGAGTACTGGAAATGGAAAGTACAATGCCTGCACTTTAAAGGAGGGGTTTGGGATGATGGTAGTTTGGAGGGATATGTTATATATTTTTATATATGCCTCTAAATTGTTGTATATGGACATCTCTACAAAAACCATGATTATGTATGAGTGAGGTGAGTGTTGAATGATGATGAAAGTGTTTTCTGTTTGGGGATTTTCTTTCTTTTTGGGTCACCCTGCCTCGGTGGGAGACGGCCGACTTGTTGAAAAAAAAAAAAAACTATAACAGCTAAGTCATGAGTTCATAAAAAATTATGAAAGGAGTGAAGCAAGAGGAGATTGATAACTGTGCAACTAAATAAATGAGCATATTTAATTCTGAATAGGACTGAGACACAAAAAAATTACAAATTAAAACTATCCAAGAGGCACATTTGATTTCAAGATACATTCTTACTGACAACTCTAGAACACAATATTTACACATACACTCAGTGGCCACTTATTAGGTACACTGTTCTAATACTGGGTGGGGCCCCCTTTTGACCCCAGACAACCTGAATTCTACGTGGCATGGTTTTTTTTAGGCATTGAGCTTATGCCACGTGATTGACTGATTAGATATTTGCATTAATGAGCAGATGTACAGGTGTACCTAGTAAGGTGGCCACTTGAGTGCGTTTTTTTTTTTCAACAAGTCGGCCGTCTCCCACCTAGGCAGGGTGACCCAAAGAAAATCCCCAAATTGAAAATACAGTGGACCCCCGCTTAACGATCACCTCCAAATGCGACCAATTATGTAAGTGTATTTATGTAAGTGCGTTTGTACGTGTATGTTTGGGGGTCTGAAATGGACTAATCTACTTCACAATATTCCTTATGGGAAAAAATTCGGTCAGTACTGGCACCTGAACATACTACTGGAATGAAAAAAGTTCGTTAACCGGGGGTCCACTGTACTTTCATCATCATTCAACACTTTCACCTCACTCATACATAATCACTGTTTTTGCAGAGGCACCCAGATACAACAGTTTAGAAGCATATATAGATACAATACAGAAAGTGACCTGAAATAATAGTATAATAAACTTGAGTGCATATGATTATATATTTGTGAAAGGCAATAAGTATCTAGCATTACTCAACACACATTCTTAGCATATACACACCTGTCCAGGCTGAGGTACACTGCTTTTAATGACAATTTTCTGTGGGCTTGATAGTATGTTACGAACTGCTCCTCCACTGCTGATCTGATGTGTGATAATCTGAGGAAAAAGTTATAACTTTGTCTAACTTTAGATTCAATTTTTTTTTATCAAACTCGATGTATCCTAAAGACAGAAATACATTCACTATCATTCATTCAATAGCTAGATGATGTCTTGCCAGAAGTGGCCAGACATGACAATTCAAATGACTTGAAACTGTAACCTCCTTGTCCCCCTCCTTCAGAGTGCAGGGCCCTGTACTTCTTGTCCCCAGAATTCAAGTCTCACTTGCCAGTTTTCTAAAATCCTTTCACAGATTTTACATTGGTTACACTACAAAAGCAAGTCAAATTCCAAAATCCATCTGTCTTCCCTCAATTTGATCTAAAATGCTCACATATGCCTGCTAGATGCTCAAGAACCAACCGCTCAAAACTCCTTCCCATTGTCCCTGCAGCCTTTCATCTTCTAACGTCCTCAGATTTCCATACCTTCCAGTCAACCTATTCTTGATCATCCTTCTCTAAATGACATAACCATTTCTACAACCCTTCTTTCTCTCTCTGAATTATAACATTCTTACCACCACAGTCTTTAATTCTCCAGCTTCTCTGCATAATATTAACATCACACACTGATCTCAAGAATGACATCTGCACAGCCCGCAGTCTTCTCTTCACTGCAACATTCATAGGACCAGCCTTACACCTATACAAGTGTTGCCACCACTATACTATGGTACATATAATTAAAAATAGAAATATTGAACACAACAGAAATTACATTGAAAAGTACTCTGAATGGAGAAATATTTCATTAACCCTTTCAGGGTCCACAGTCCCTCTCAAGACTTTTTCTCAGGGTCCCCCAAATTTAAAAAAAAAAAAAATTATTTTTTTCTTATAAAAAGATAGAGAATCTTTTCCCGATCATAATGACACCAAAAGTATGAAATTTGATGGAAAACTTATAGAATTATGCTCTTGCGAAGTTAGCGGTCTCAACTATGCTTACACATCGGCGATTTTGCCCACTTTGAGCCCTATTTTCGGCCAATTCCAATGTACTAGTCGACAAAAATCATACCTATTTCGCTAGAACTCCATTTTTTCTATCGAATGAGTACAAGAAACCACCCATTTACCAATTTCAACTACCCAATACAGTGGTCAGAATTTAGCAATTTTGCCAATTTCACACAAATTTCAAAAGATGCCAATTTCCAAATAGGGTCCAGAATAAACAAGAAAGACATTCCTAGCACTAAAATAACATTTCCTCTGTTCATTAGTCACATCCCCACGTCCCTCTTACATTCTTTTGCTTTCCATTTTGAAATTTTATTCTCACAAAAAATAAAAGATTTGTTTACTTTTGAACTTTGGTAAAAATCGAACATTTCTGCTACTTTGAGCTCAATTTCAAGGTACTTTTCATTGTAAAACCAGTCAAAATCATTTCAATTTCTGTAATATGTCTTCCATTCTATCAAATGAGGCCAGGAAAACTAGAATACAACAATAAATACCATACGAAAATACAGTGCAAAGTCGCTGTTTTAATCCAAAAACATGGTCAAAGTATTTTTTTTTCTCATTATGCACTGTGTGCTGCAGGATTTTTTTTATATTGCACACACTGACCACATAGACCCATTCTTTCATATGCAGGCCTACCAGCTTTCTCTCACTAGATTTGAAGGCGCTAGAATTTATGAGTACTAGTACGTCAAGGACCCTGGCACGTAAGCCGTACTAGTACGGCCAAAACCCTGAAAGGGTTAAAACATACAGGTCTCCCTCAACATTCGCGAGGGTTAGGGGATCAAGAGCCTCGCGAATGTTGAAAAACCGTGAATGTTTGGTGCCCCAATATATTGTAGGGAAATATAATACAATCCTGTTCCTTAACTTGTTGAACCATGAACAATCATAAAATACACGAAAACATTGTAAATTGTACTAAATATCCTTTAATACCTTTAATAACATGTATGTTATTAAATACCACAGACTCCACCAATGCCTCCACCACTTCCTCAACCACTGCGAGTCCCTACTACCCTCCCTCCGACCCCCACAACTGGCAGCCAGCCCTCCCACCACTCAGTGTGGTGAGTGTTTTGTTTGTTCATTATTTGCTATTAAACTACAGTATAAATAATGTAAACCCATTCATGACTGCATATTGGAATGGCTATTCGGACGGGTATTAGACGATGACATCATGTGTTTACTCTTGAACACAGCAAAGAATCAAACATTTCTGCTGCTGCTAATAATAACAATAGTAATAATAATAATAATAATAATAATAATAATAATAATAATAATAATAATAATAATACGATATAACTGAAGAAGGAAATTGTACAAAAATACGAGGGAGTGGTTGACACATCGTCAGTGTGGCTTTGTTTATGCTGGAGTGAACATTAGTCTCCCTGCTCTTCCAAACATTTCACAATAATTCAGCAGTTGAGGCAGTGGCCTTTAATAACATGTGTTATAAATAATAATAGTACATATTATTAATAACATGTATTATTATTATTAATAACATGTATGTTATTAAATACCACTGCCTCAACCGCTGCCTCAACCACTGCCTCAATCGCTGCCTCAACTGCTGCCTCAACTGCTGCCTCACCCACTGCCTCAATCGCTGTCTCACAGCTCCTACCCACTGCTCAATCGCTGCCTCAACAGCTCCTCACCCACTGCCTCAATCGCTGCCTCAACAGCTGCCTCAACCGACTGCCTCAACACTGCCTCAACCACTGCCTCAACCACTGCCTCAATCGCTGCCTCAACAGCTGCCTCACCCACTGCCTCAATCGCTGCCTCAACTGCTGCCTCACCCACTGCCTCAACCACTGCCTCAATCACTGCCTCAACCACTCCAGTCTCACTCAATCTACAAGCACCAAACACAATGAATTATTGTGAAATGTTTGGAAGAGCACGGAGACTAATGCTCACTCCAGCATAAACAAAGCCACACTGACGATGTGTCAACCACTCCCTCGTATTTTTGTACAATTTCCTTCTTCAATTATATCGTATTATTATTATTTTATTATTATTATTATAATTATTATTATTATTATTGTTATTATTAGCAGTCACAGAAATGTTTGATTCTTTGCTGTGTTCAAGAGTAAACACATGACGTCACCGTCTAATACCTGTCCGAATAGCCATTCCAATATGCAGTCATGAATGGGTTTACATTATTTATACTGTAGTTTAATAGCAAATAATGAACAAACAAACCACTCACCACACTGAGTGGTGGGAGGGCTGGCTGCCAGTTGCGGGGGTCGGTGGGAGGGTAGTAGGGACTCGCAGGTGGCGAGAAACTTGAATATGATTTGGCGGCTGGGAATTTGGTGGCTGGGAATTTGGCGGTTGGGAATTTGCGAATGTGTGAAGCCCGCGAAAGCTGAAAACGTGAATGCTGAGGGAGACCTGTACTACTGTTATATAGAATAATATGCAAAATAACCACTGTGAAAGAATAGTGACATTCCAAGCGTTTTCATGACTTCTCACATTACCAAGGAAGTCACGAAAATGCTTGGAATTTCACCATTCTTTCACAGTGGTTGTTTTGCATATTCTGATATCACCTGTTTATGTGATCTTATTCCATAGTATAATATGCTTACGAGCCCTGCCTCATAGGGATATGGCCAGTTTGTTGAAAAAAGGGTTTACCAGGATACCAAGGGACTTCAATTCATGAACTAGTTCCATTCTCGTTGATACAACTAACAAACGAGTTATAATGTGTAGCCTATTTTTCCACAGAAAACAATAATACAGGGTATGGTTATGTTTCACATGAGCAAAATTCGGGATCAATGGTTGTAAAAATTTATCTGCTCATAAGTGCAAATGTTTCACAAATTGTGATGTTTGCTAGATCCCCTGTACGAGGATAAAAAGCTTCACATATACATTTTTTTTGTTTGTTTGTTTTTTTTAACACATTGGCCATCTCCCACCGAGGCAGGGTGACCCAAAAGAAAGAAAAACCCAAAAAGCAAGAAAGAAAGAAAAAAAAACTTTCACTATCAGTCAACAATTTCACCAACACTCACACATAATCACTGTCTTTGCAGAGGCACCCAGATACAACAGTTTAGTCACCCCAAATTGCCAATATCCCAAACCCCTCCTTTTAAGTGCAGGCATTGTACTTCCCATTTCCAGGACTCAAGTCTGGCTAACCAGTTTCCCTGAATCCCTTCACAAAATATTACCCTGTTCACACTCCAACAGGCATTAATTGTAAACAAATAATTTTAGAAGTGGAATAGTTTATTACATTATTGATACACAAATAACCCGCACATAGGAGAAACTTATGACGACGTTTTGGTCCGAGTTGGTCCAAGTTGGACCAAAATGTCGCCTTAAGTTTTTCTCCTATGTGCAGATTGTGTGTGTATTGATCCAGTCATGGTATTATGCCTTTTTATTCTTTAAATTATTAATAAATAATCAACTCCTAGATGCTAGAGTGATTGACAATTAACTGTATTATCTACAGTAATTACCTGCTTGTGATTAGAGAGAAGTATTTAATATGGTATCAGGAACTGAGCTTTGATCAAGGTATCCTATCTTTAGTATTTAGTTTGTCATATATTTTTTAGTGGTTGTAGCGCCTACTACCTCCTGGATCCCATTCCAGCAGTACTGGTCAACTCCATGTTCCAAATCACCTGGCAGGCCCTGGACATCTCTGATCCTCACATACCACCCATGCTAACAGGTAATCACAAAACGGTACATACAAGAGGAAAATTGCATGCGAAAGAAGAAAGCAAAATGGAGGTAGAAGTCCTACTGGAAAACTTAGTTTGTGAACTAAGCAATTCACTGCAAAGTAACCAAGAAACGTGAAAAAAAACTTGTTCCATTCATTCATTCATTCACCCAAAAGACAAGGAGGAATACATTAGCCGTGATTTCCTGTAATTATTTTTTATAACGTACTTTTAGGCCCTTATGTATTTATTCTAACCTGCTGAGATGGAAATGAATACAATAAAAAGTACAAGGGATGACAGTGCAGATAAATTCTCTGATCCAAAAATCTAAATGGATATTATGAAATAAAATTCTGAAGTTCATAAGAAATTTAATACAGCATAATTAATGGCTCTGATAGAAAAATTTAATCGCAGCAGGTGAAATCAAGATGATGAATTTCAAAGAGTTATCAAAGTAGAAGCTGAGTCCCTTCTAGAGCTCACCTATGTCACATAAAGCTCATTTTTGCCTATTTTAGTAATGACGCACCTGCTGCTGTCCAGTGGGTGGGGCAGGGGCAATTTTTGTGGGTGATTTAGTGGCCATAGACACTGGGATCAACTTACTAGGGCTCTTCATTGGGGATACTCCGCCCATACTGACCCGCTGAACAACAATCTGCTGAATGCAAACTTACTTTAGAAAAATCATACCCTTATTGCTTTAGGAAAATTATTCAAATTTGCTTAACATCTAATAGCTCTAATTTCTTTGGGAAAAATTTCTCGTTACTGAGAAAAATGATTAAACATATAAAGTGAGAGAATTCTTTTTTCTCCAATCAGTTCTTTCATTTAACTTCACTGTACTGTATCAACACTCTCCTACAATTTATCCTTAAATTTATCTGACAGTAACATATTTCTCAAATTCTGTAATGTCCCTTCAAGAACTTATGGGCCGAAAGTAATGCCGCTTGAAGTTGAATAATTACAAAAAAGAAACCCCATCTCCTGGCTTATACACATCTCTAATTTAGATGGGACTTAGTTAAGTATTTGTTTATTAACCAATTCACACAATCTGAACTCATTCAGTGCCAAATGTAATGTTCTGGACTAAAGTTTATCAAGATTAAATTCATACCTAAACTTAAATAGTTAATTCTTGAATGCATAGATACCTTTTCAGAAAATTTTCATAATACCAAAGCTTCTAATATACATCTCTATTTTCTCCTAGGACCTTCCCTATTTATCAAAGACCACAATACAAAAGCCTCCAAACAATCATATCTAAAACATACATTCCTAGTCTGTTCTATTCATTTAATGCCCTTTGACCTTATAATTACAGAGGGTAATCCGAACTCTGATGTCAGCATGATTCAGACAAGACAGCAACTGAATGAATGATGGTGAATGTTTTCTTTTTTGGGGGTTATCATGCTTTGGTGAGAGATGTCCAGTGAGGTAAAAACAAATGTTTGTCAGGGGATGGTGGAGGGAGGAACTCTTGCTCTTGGGCCTACCCCTTAACTTATGATTGATGAGAATTAGCTTGACTGCACAGAGTGCAGTATAACCTTGTAAAGTATATACATTTTTTTACATGTGCAATAATTACAACAAGTCTCCTACAAGACCATTATTATTATGTAGAACACCTATTCTTGTAAAATAATGAAAATGTGAAAAATTCCAACTGCATATGTGTTAACACTGCTTGGGCCATCACTTTTCCACTCAGCCTGTCCTGAGACTAATTTCACAAATAACAAATGCATTTCGAATTTTCACTCTCTCTTTCTTCACTGCATATTAAATACAGCATCTATGATACTGGAGTTCGGAGAAGAACAAAAGGAAGTGAGAGTCTGTGATAATGATAAAGAAAAAAGCAATGGGGAATCCCAGAAAAAAAGAAGGGCTGAAAGGATTTTAGAAATTTTTATTGCAAGCAATGGCAGAACACTGGATTGGGATTTAGGAGGTAGCAATGTGTATGTGATCCAACCACTGGAAACTTAAATTATATGTCAAAAACTGAAAGTAAGACACTAATCAAAGAGCTGCTAGTGTAACTAAAAATAGGCAAGCCCAAGATTATGCTCAGTTCTCTTTAACTTTAAAGGATTACAACCCTTGGCATCCCAATCAAGGATCTGTTTCTGAACCTCAAAAAAAGTTTCATCACCCACTGTAGCCCTTGTGTCAATTTTTTAATCCTAATTCCTTTCAGTGTGTCATTTTTACTATCATTAATTATATTACCACTTAATATTATTCCAATGTAATGATTTAAAAAAAAAAAATCTAGACTAGTTTACCTCTGCACCTAACATTACTTATACACAGTTATTGAGTTAGTAACTGCAATGAACTCACTCAGTATCCATGAAAGATGTATACAGAGGGATCATGAATGATGAACTCACAGATGCAGAGGTTATAATTCACTAAGAATGGGGGGAGTGGCATTCAGGACTCTCATGGCTAAAATAATCAGACATAGAACAGTCTAATTTTTTAGCTATTTTTAATCATTTACAATACAACTGGGTCATCCAAGAGACCTATAATATTTACCCAAGGGCATGTATAGTACTGTATTTCCTAGTATCCAGAAGGCATGCATTTCATATGGTTAGCTAAGACAGAATTTATGCTTCACAGTATTTACAGAATGAGTCTATGGCTTCAAGGTCATAAATTTTGCAGGATGCTATGGAGGGAAGGTGAATGGTGATGTGGGTCACGAGAAGTCTTAAATAACTGAAGGACTGCAGGTGCCTTGCCTTATGCACGTTTTCTAGGTAAATCTTCCTGTATGAGACAGGCACTGATAGCAGCCCCAATTAAACTTATAATTCCTTTCAAAGTTTGAAGCAATGTGAGAGTTTTTTCAAGATCACTGGTTCTTTTTTATGGTTTGCTACCTCTTCTTTTTCTTCAAATATTGTGAATCTGTAGAATACAACTCTCTGACAGTAACCTGTGTATGTGTAGCTTTTAAAAATAAATTTCTGCTACATCAACAGGATTCCTGGTCACACCAGGTATTTATTAGCTGACCATGGATTGAGCCTACACCAATTATTACATTTAATGACTCATACAAGCATGGTACTTAATGAAACACAGTATAGCATCACTTTTTGTGGAAGTTATTTAATCCCAGAGTCCTGGGGACTAATCTGATGACTTTCTCTTCGGCATTTTGATTTGCATCTCTGCTAAGGAATTCCTTGTTCACATTTCTTTTTGATTGCAAGAAGTGATGACTTGTTCACTCACATGACAGTAAAATTGTTAGGCAGAATTTCTGATGCATGTTTCCAGTGTATCTTCACATAGATACTTCAAGGCCTGTGAAACATGTAGAGGAGGTGGAGTCTGCGAGGGCCTCCCCCCCCCCTTAAATAAAGGAAGGCAACCTCCCGAAGGAAACAGCATTAAAGGTGCATAAAAAATACGTTATAACATTTATCATTACATTCCGATCTTCAGATTGTAACTATATAAATTCATCATACAATGACATATAAAGAAGTTACTGACCTTGTTTGGTGATTGATTGAGAGGTTTTGTTGGTGATATAAGACCCATCCGTTGTGCCTGCTGTAGCGTTAGCTTAGTGGGAGAGGATACCACTTGAGCGCTACCACCACTGCCACTCTGGCTGGTAACAAGCTGCACCTGCTGTCCTCCCATGGTGCCAATACCACCACCAGCCTGACTTGTTATGATTACTTTTGTTACAGTCTGTTGAAGTTAGAAATGAATATTATGGTCAAATGGATTAGAAATTATCATAATAAAAAATGAAAAATTTCTATTTACTTCCAAAAACAAGCTTGTTCTATCCTCTCCATGCCTTCATGGGATATTGGCATATGTACTTTGCCTTCTTTATAATGTTAATAATATACTTGTCAGATTAGCATCACTTACAATCCTAGTATTCCTTCTACATATCCAACCAATCATGATGCACATCTCTCAATCCTCCATATACAGTAGACCCACATATAAGATGTATTTGTACAATTTTTTGTGAAGAGATGGTTGAAAACTCACAGAATAAATTTGTATGGGGCACTGTGGCTGATATAACAAATGACTCAGCAGACATCTACTGTTCAGAAGTCACATAACCATCTATAAATACCTTTTTGTAAACAAGCGAGAGAATGAGGAATTTAAGGTAGGATAAAATACTTCCCTGTCGCTATTACAAATGAGAAAATTGTATGGCGAATTGTGTAATGGGGGCAACTGATGAAATATACGAGAAGCATCAGTTGATGAAACAAACAAACAACTCGAAGCCATCTACTGCTCAGTGGTCATGACTACCTCTAGATATTTCTTTATCAACAAACAGGGAAACAAGGAAGTTAAAAGAGGATAAAGTTTCTTTCTTGCAACTATTGTAGATTAGAAAATTGTATAATGAAATGTGTATATCGACTAATAACACAGACAACCTACAATTGTCTATTTCTCAACTACGCTACATAACTATCTACAAGCAAATGAAACAAAGAATTAAGATTGGGTGAAATTCTTTCTTGTTACCATTTTTATCTATTTTTTTACTGATAAAATTGCATGTAAAATTTGTAAGTCAGTGGAGGCATATTAGCCATCTCTGTTTGCTCTGGACGGAGTGCCCTGCCCACTGTCTGGGAAGGAATGGATGAAATACTGCCTCAGGCAGAAGGCTAAACACCAGCTTCCCCAGGCCTCATAAACTGAGTTTATTTAGTAACCCCGTTTTTATTTGGAATTTGCATACATAACGTCATTTTCTTGATAAACAAGCAGTGTCATTTATGATGCAGTATCAAAAACTCCATCATTTGTTAAGAAATAAAAAGTTTAAAATAATTTGTTTGACATTTCTACTTGTACCTGGAATGCAATCTTATTTTTCCCACGTAACTACTATCTTTGTAGGTAGTTGGTTGGTAGACAGCAACCGCCCAGGGAGGTATCTACCGTCCTGCCAAGTGAGTGTAAAATGGAAACCTATAATTGTTTTACATGATGGTAGGATTGCTGGTTGTAAGTAGTAGGTTAGTAGACAGCAACCACCCAGGGAGGTACTACCGTCCTGCCAAGTGAGTGTAAAACGGAAACCTGTAATTGTCTTACATGATGGTAGGATTGCTGGTGTCTTTTTTCTGTCTCATAAACATGCAAGATTTCAGGTATGTCTTGCTACTTCTACTTACACTTAGGCCACACACACATACATGTACAAGCATATATATACACACCCCTCTGGGTTTTCTTCTATTTTCTTTCTAGTTCTTGTTCTTGTTTATTTCCTCTTATCTCCATGGGGAAGTGGAACAGAATTCTTCCTCCGTAAGCATGCGTGTTGTAAGAGGCGACTAAAATGCCGGGAGCAAGGGGCTAGTAACCCCTTCTCCTGTATATATTACTAAATGTAAAAGGAGAAACTTTCGTTTTTCCTTTTGAGCCACCCCGCCTCGGTGGGATACGGCCGGTGTGTTGAAAGAAAGAAAGAAAGAAAGAAAGAAAGAAAAGAAAGAAAGAAAGAAAGAAAGAAAGAAAGAAAGAAAGAAAGAAAGAAAGAAAGAAAGAAAGAAAGAAAGAAAGAAAGAAAGAAAGAAAGAAAGAAAGAAAGAAAGATAGATAGATAGATAGATAGATAGATAGATAGATAGATAGATAGATAGATAATAGATAGATAGATAGATATATATATAAAATATAAAATATATATATATATATATATATATATATATATAAAATTCAAGGATTATGTGGAGTAAAATAAAGATTGGATGTGAAAAGTGGGTTATAGTAAGCGTGTATGCACCTGGAGAAGAAAGAAGTGTAGAGGAGAGAGAGAGATTCTGGGAAATGTTGAGTGAATGCGTGGGGAGTTTTGAATCAAGTGTGAGAGTAATGGTGGTTGGGGATTTCAATGCTAAAGTGGGTAAAAATGTTATGGAGGGAGTAGTAGGTAAATTTGGGGTGCCAGGGGTAAATGTAAATGGGGAGCCTTTAATTGAGCTATGTGTAGAAAGAAATTTGGTAATAAGTAATACATATTTTATGAAAAAGAGGATAAATAAATATACAAGGTATGATGTAGCACGTAATGAAAGTAGTTTGTTAGATTATGTATTGGTGGATAAAAGGTTGATGGGTAGGCTCCAGGATGTACATGTTTATAGAGGGGCAACTGATATGTCAGATAATTATTTAGTTGTAGCTACAGTTAGAGTAAAAGGTAGATGGGAAAAGAGGAAGGTGGCAACAACAAGTAAGAGGGAGGTGAAAGTGTATAAAGCAAGGGAGGAGGAAGTTCGGGCGAGATATAAGCGACTATTGGCAGAAAGGTGGGCTAGTGCAAAGATGAGTAGTGGGGGGAGTTGAAGAGGGTTGGAATAGTTTTAAAAATGCAGTATTAGAATGTGGGGCAGAAGTTTGTGGTTATAGGAGGGTGGGGCAGGAGGAAAGAGGAGTGATTGGTGGAATGATGAAGTAAAGGGTGTGATAAAAGAGAAAAAGGTAGCTTACGAGAGGTTTTTACAAAGCAGAAGTGTTATAAGAAGAGCAGAGTATATGGAGAGTAAAAGAAAGGTGAAGAGAGTGGTGAGAGTGCAAAAGGAGAGCAGATGAAAGAGTGGGAGAGGCACTGTCAAGAAATTTTAATGAAAATAAGAAAAAATTTTGGAGTGAGTTAAACAAGTTAAGAAAGCCTAGGGAAAGTATGGATTTGTCCATTAAAAACAGAGTAGGGGAGTTAGTAGATGGGGAGAGGGAGGTATTAGGTAGATGGCGAGAATTTTTTGAGGAACTTTTAAATGTTGAGGAAGAAAGGGAGGCGGTAATTTCATGCACTGGCCAGGGAGGTATACCATCTTTTAGGAGTGAAGAAGAGCGAAATGTAAGTGTGGTGGAGGTACGTGAGGCATTACGTAGAATGAAAGGGGGTAAAGCAGCTGGAACTGATGGGATCATGACAGAAATGTTAAAAGCAGGGGGGGGATATAGTGTTGGAGTGGTTGGTACTTTTGTTTAATAAATGTATGAAAGAGGGGAAGGTACCTAGGGATTGGCGGAGACCATGTATAGTCCCTTTATATAAAGGGATATAAAGGGAAGGGGGACAAAAGAGATTGTACAAATTATTGAGGAATAAGTTTACTGAGTATACCAGGAAAAGTATATGGTAGAGTTATAATTGAAAGAATTAGAGGTAATACAGAATGTAGAATTGCGGATGAGCAAGGAGGCTTCAGAGTGGGTAGGGGATGTGTAGATCAAGTGTTTATGTTGAAGCATATATGTGAGCAGTATTTAGATAAAGATAGGGAAGTTTTTATTTCATTTATGGATTTAGAAAAGGCATATGATAGAGTGGATAGAGGGGGCAATGTGGCAGATGTTGCAAGTTTATGGAATAGGTGGTAAGTTACTAAATGCTGTAAAGAGCTTTTATGAGGATAGTGAGACTCAGGTTAGGGTGTGTAGAAGTGAGGGAGAATACTTCCCGGTAAAGTAGGTCTTAGACAGGGGTGTGTAATGTCACCATGGTTGTTTAATATATTTATAGATGGGGTTGTAAAAGAAGTAAATGCTAGGGTGTTCGGGAGAGGGTGGGATTAAATTATGGGGAATCAAATTCAAAATGGGAATTGAAAGTTACTTTTTGCAGATGATACTGTGCTTATGGGAGATTCTAAAGAAAAATTGCAAAGGTTAGTGGATGAGTTTGAGAATATGTGTAAAGGTAGAAAGTTGAAAGTGAACATAGAAAAGAGTAAGTGATGAGGTATCAAATGATTTAGATAAAGAAAAATTGGATATCAAATTGGGGAGGAGGAGTATGGAAGAAGTGAAGGTTTTCAGATACTTGGGAGTTGACGTGTCGGCGGATGGATTTATGAAGGATGAGGTTAATCATAGAATTGATGAGGGAAAAAAGGTGAGTGGTGCGTTGAGGTATATGTGGAGTCAAAAAACGTTATCTATGGAGGCAAAGAAGGGAATGTATGAAAGTATAGTAGTACCAACACTCTTATATGGATGTGAAGCTTGGGTGGTAAAATGCAGCAGCGAGGAGACGGTTGGAGGCAGTGGAGATGTCCTGTTTAAGGGCAATGTGTGGTGTAAATATTATGCAGAAAATTCGGAGTGTGGAAATTAGGAGAAGGTGTGGAGTAATAAAAGCATAGTCAGAGGGCAGAAGAGGGGTTGTTGAGGTGGTTTGGTCATTTAGAGAGAATGGATCAAAGTAGAAATGACATGGAAAGCATATAAATCTATGGGGGAAGGAAAGGGGGGTAGGGGCGCTGGGGGGTTTGGGAAAAGAGGGGTAAAGGGGGTTTTTGTGGCGGGGGGCTTGACTTCCAGCAAGCGTGCATGAGCGTGTTAGATGGGAGTGAATGGGACAATGTACAAACACACACATATATTATATTATATATATAAAAATTTATATAAATATATTTTATATATAATAATATATATATTTTTTTTTTTTTTTTTTTATCTCCCCGGCCGCCCCCACAAAGGGGGTGGCCCGAAAAAGAAAAATTTCACCATCATTCCTCCATCACGTCTTGCCAAAAAGGGTGCTTTACACTACATTTTTAAACGCAAACTTAACCCCCCCTTTCAAGTGCAGGCACTGACTTCCCATCTCCAGGACCAATCCCCCCCTCCCGGGTTTTCCCCTGAACCCCCCTTCATAATGTTACTTTGCTCCCTCCACAGCA